CAAGGCCAGCCTGGTCTACAGAGCAAGTTCCACTATAACCAAGGCTACATAAAGAAACCCTGTCTCGAAAAACAAAAACAAAAAACAATCAACAAAAAAATAAATAAAAACAACCAAACTGAACTGTTCAGTTTACCCAAAGATTATTTAAATAAAATCTCAGTTCTAGAACAGGTTACAATCTAGTTAGCATTTTCAAAGAGAAAATAAGGGAGAGAATTAATATAAATGACTATGCAAAGGGGATACAGCTAGCTCAGTGCAGTCCTTGCCTAACTCGCACAAGACCCTAGATGTAATTTACAATACCAAAAAACAATTTCTAAAGAGAAAATCTTGTCTCATAAACTAGAATATTCAGTATTCACATGCACATGTGAAAGAACTATTGACATTATTAAGAGAGGCTTCCAAAAAGCATTTCCTAAAAGAAGAACAGTATCTTCTTACTCCCCATGTCTATCGTGCTGACCTGAACTCCATACAGATTTTTAAAACAGACTCCATTCTTTTTATTGTGCACACACATGTGACACTTGCATGTAGAGGTCAGTGTCCTTCTACCATGTGGGGATGGTAACTGAACTCAGGTCATCAGACTTGGCAGCAAGCACTTTTATTAGCTGAGCTATCTCAGCAACCCTGATGACTCCATTCTTCTAAATGAGCAGTATAGATCTGTCCACCATATGTCCCCACCAATCCATTATTTAATAAAAATTTAAGAATCACACAGTCAGGGGTCAGGGAAATGGTTCAAGGGGAAAGGAGTTTATTGCAAAGCCTACTGACCCAAGTTTGATCCCACAGACCCACAAGGCAGAACTGACTAACTCAAGTTGTCCTCCATACTTTACATCCTGGTGTACCTGTATGCATGCATTCGTGCACATGATCACACACAATAAATAAATGCAAATTTTAAAAATGTTTCAGCCAAGCATGGTAGTGCATGCCTGTAATCCAAAATACTGAAGCAAAAGTATCCCAAGACCTAGGTAAGCCTGGACAATTTCAAAAATTCCAGGCCAGTATGGAACTTTCTCCAAGGTCCTATCTCCTATGAATGAATGAATGAATGAATGAATGAATGAATGAATGAACGAACTAATGAATGAACAAACAAACACCTCAGAAACCTGAAATGAACATTCAGGGGTCATTTTAACACATTTCCTCATTTCATCAACTAAAACTCTTTAGAAGACTGCCAAAGAATATACAACCTGGTAGGTAATTCCAAGATGAAGAAGCAATTGCTACTTTAAAGCATCCTCCCCATCGCTAACCAGCAAATCTAATATTGCAACTCCCTTCATCATTTCACCCAAAGCCCTTTAAAGTTAGAAAAGTTTAAAGTCTCACTTTTATTTTAAGAGCATTGGCATTTTGCCTGCATGTGTATCTGTGTGAGGGTATGAGAGACCCTGGAACTGGAGTTACAGACAATTATGAGCTGCCATGTGGTTGCTGGGAATGGGACCCAGGTTATCTGAAGAGCAGCCAGTGCTCTTAACTGCTGAGCCATCTCTCCAACCCCTTAAAGCCTCTTCTAACACAGTGGGGAAGTCAAGGGATACAACCTCAATAGCTGGTTTAAAGCCTCTTAAGTTTTCAAGCCTCTAAAACTCAAGACTTCAGTTGGGCCAGCGAGATGGCTAAGAGGGTAAATGTGTTTTGCAGCTTAATGATGCTAGCCTGATGACCTGAATTCAATCCCTACAACCCACATAAAGGTGATGAAGAAAAATCAACTCCTGAAAGTTGTCCTCTGACCTCCACACATATTCACCCTGCTGCACATGTGCCCACATGCAACAGTACTTTTTTAGTTTACATAAAATTAAATTTAAAATAAAATTTTAATATCAAGACTTAAGCACATCATTTGAAAGTGAAAAGCATCTAATAAACAAAAATAACTAAAGATCAGAATGGAGAACAAAAAAGAGAAAAAAATATCAGTGACATTCACCCATTTCACTCAAGGAAAGCTGACTTCTATAGTCATTATCCAAAATGATGTCACTTTGGTAAAGAGAAATGATGGAGCAGAGCATGGTGGCACACATCTTTAATCCTAGCACCTGGGAAGATAAGGCAAGAGGGGTCTGAGGCCACCCTGAGCTATATAACACAAACAGAAATGATACAAGCCTACCAACTACTTAGGAGAGCTGGAGAAAAACATCAACTACAAAATGTTAATAATAGTAGTAATAATAATAATAATAATAATAATAATAATAATAATAATAATAATAAATGAAGTAGCAGTCTGTGATAGAGGACAAGTGTGTGTGTGTGAAAATGCTGTAAGGTAACCCGTTGTCTTGTACAAAATGTGCTTATTTTCTTTCTTTCTTTGTTTTTGTTTTTCGAGACAGGGTTTCTCTGTATAGTCCTGACTGTCCTGGAACTCACTTTGTAGACCAGGTTGGCCTCAAACTCACTTCGATCTGACTGTCTCTACCTCCCAAGTGCTGAGATGAAAGGTGTGTACCACCACCACCACCTGTCTGTGTTTATTGTCCTAAGGTGTAAAGTGAGAACAAGTTTTTAAAAAAATCTGGGCTGAAGTTATAGCTCAATTGGTAGTATTAACCCAGCAGGCAAAGTCTTGGGTTCAGCAGCCAGCTTTTCAGCAGCCAGTGGTGGCACACACATTTAATTCCAGCACTTAGTGGGCAGAGGCAGACAGACCTCTGTGAGTTTGAAACTAGCCTATTCTACAGAGCAAATTCCAGGACAGCCAGGGCTACACAGAAAAAAAAAAAAAAAAAAAAAAAAAAAAAAAAAAGGGGGGGGGGGGAGAAGGAGAAAGGTGAGGAGGGAAGGGGAGTGGGGAAAAATTGTATAGCTTAAAAAAAAAGTCCAGGTTTCCTTCCCCAACACTGCATAAACTAGAGGAACTCACACCTTTAAAGCCAGAGCTTAAGGAGGCAAAAGGTCAGGTCATCTTCCCTATATACTTAAGAGGACAGTCAGTCTGGGTGACACAAGCCCCTGGCTCAAAAACAAAACAAAAGCAAAAACAAAAACCAAAAAAAAAAAAAAAAAATTTAAGCTGGGAGTGGTAGAGCAAGAGGCAGGTGGGTCTCCAGGTTTGAGGCCAGGCTGACCTACAGTCAGTTCTAGAGCAGCCAGAGTTACATGGTGACACCCTGTCAAAAAAAAAAAAAAAAAAAAAGGAGGGGGGCACTCATCACAGCATGCAGCAATCTCTAGAAAGCAAAATGCAATTGATTGACAGGGTATGCTTTTCATTGTTAGTTTCCTCAGAACAATTTTTAAAATTAAATATATTTATGTTATTTGCATAAGGAAAAAACACTATACTTAGGTGCATTGTAGTAAAAGAATTGACGTTATACTGTATTAGTAGGGGGAGAGGCTGAGCCTCTCTCACCATGATGATAATAAAAATGGGTACAAGTAAGCCCTTTTTAAAAGTGAGCAAATCAGGCTGGAGACACACTCATCAGTTAAGAGTGCTTCTTCCAAAGGACCCAAGTTCAATTCCCAGCACCCACGTCAGGCAGTTCAAAACTGCCTGTCATGCTGGCTCCAGGGGACCCAACAGTCTCTTCTAGCCTCCTTGGGGGTATGCACACACCCATGGCATATGTTCACACAAACACATAAATAAAAATAAAATCTTTAAAAGTGAGCAAATCTAAATGCACTAACAGGAAATTTTCCAAGTTTTTTAAAACAAAAATCCCAATTATTTCTACAAGAAATTTTGTAATGGAAGAAATCTCCTCCACACCTTAAGTACCATCTTAGCTAGAGAAATGAAACCTCTGATAAAGGAAGGAGTGATAACCTTCGTTTCCCATCCCTCTCCCAAATTTCACTCCATCTTCCCCATTAATTTTTCTCTCAACTTCCATAAAAAGATCTGTCACATTTAACACACTTATTATTTTCTACTCAGCTGAAGTAATAGTACAACTTAATATGTATGTAATTCCTCTTTAATAACAAAAGGTGAATACTATTCAGGTAGACTTTAAGACATTGACCTAGCCTTGCAGTGGTGCACGATTTTAATCCCCAGCACTCCGGAGGCAGAGGCAGGAGAATCTCTGAGTTCAAGGCCAAACTGTTTTACAAAGTGAGTTCCAGGACAGCCAGAACTACACAAAGAAACGGGGGGGGGGGGGGGGGGGGGGGGGCAAGACATGGGACACACGACACGGGACGACACACACCACAACAACAACAAAAAAAGATAAGGCACTGTCCTCATCCAGTGTTCCTTCTTGAAAATCAGGTCTAATGTGCACTCAGTGAAAGCAAAAGAAAGAACCTGGTTTCCTGACATAAACAGAGATGCTAACTGTCCATCCTCATCAGACCTAGACTCATCCTGTCACTTCAAGTTTCCTTAGGCATCATGATTAACTACTCTTGACCTCCTTATAACCTAAGATCAGCACAGACATTACAGAGCCTCCACTCTGCATGCCTACATTTTGCTGGCAGATGCTATTTTCTTCACTAACTCCATGCCTCGGTGACAGAGTACATCCGGAATTGTGAATGGAAAAGGATCTCCCGCCAACCCGAGGTATAGAACCAATCCAACTAGTCTCCTTTGGGGCTACACAAATGCAAAGACCGGACTATAATGCACTGACTCTCAACACGAACAATTATAATCTTGTGTCCTGCAACCCAGGCTGAAATACAGCGCCGGCTCTTCTGGAACCGTGGAAGCTAGGGAGTGAAGAAGAAAACCTCCAGGCCAAGTAATTCCTATTCCAGTGCCTGCCAGGACGGTGTTCATCCAGCCTCCCCCAAGTGACAATACTCCAAATCTGCTAAAATTCTAAACTCGGTGGCCTCAAGAATCCCCGTAGGCCAGGCGGTTTCTCAAGGACTCTTTCAAAGATTTTCAGTTCAGTAGTGCGGCACTAAAATGTCTCAAACCAATCTACAGGCTAAGAGACTAATTCTCAGTGACCCCAACCACAGCGGGGACCCGCACTTACCGGATGTCATCTACTGAAGAGCCCAAACAGGTTCCGAACTAGGCCACTCTGGCCCATCTGGAATAACTCTTTAGACCTTGAGCCAGCATTTGATAATTATGCTACATCTGTCTATTCTATTATGCATTGCCTGCATCTTCTCTAATATTTAGCACTCCTCCAGCTTCAAATGCTCTCCCTTCTATCCGCAGAAACTACTCTTTGCCTTCTTTGCTTGCCTTGGAAACGCTCCGGTTCTTTCCATAATGAAGCACATAACATATCTGCACAATGAACACCCCCAGAATCCTCAAGACTGCTCCACAGCCACCCCCGGCATTCCTCCACCTATCCGGCATCTTCCCTCCGGCCCCTTTCTCCCCTTTCGCACTCCCACTACGCTTCCTGCAAGCAATCCCCTTTCTCCAGCCCCTGCCCTTCCCTGCAGCCAAAGAGCACTCGGAGGCAGCAGCGGCG